TGGACAAGGAGCCAAAATCAGGGAGTTCGTTATTTAAATGATTTCATTAACACACAGCGGTGAGTTACCGCAGCTACACTGATGATGCAGCCCACAACTGACAGGAGTGAGGAGTGCTGTGAGTGGAGCAGCAGAGGGGGAGGAAACAGCTTCCTGAGCAGGAAGTGAATATTCTATTATAACAGCAAAGGGAGAATCTCACACTGAATTCTAGAAAAAGAAAAAAGAAAAAAAAATCTGTAACAGTCAGGCCAGGACCTGAATATTGTAGAGGTTTTTATTATTATTATATTAGATTTTTCTTTTGTCCGATATTAACTTTTTGCTGTCGATATTGTCCAAATACTTTTTTTAAAATTAAATGAGCTGCAATACTGCCATCTAGTGACCTTCACTTTAATATACAGCCGTTTATCCCCAAAACTATTTTTAGGGCACACATCATTTGGCGAAACCCAGGCATTGCGATATTGGGTTTTCATTAATCGGTAGAAAAAAAAACCCAATAACGATTCTTACAGATATTACATAATATGCTAATATCAGTCGGCCGATATCGTCGGACATCTCTAATATACAGTATATAATATATATATATTTAGAAATTCTAGATCGTGAAAATATTGGTATGTGTCCCAGACTATGTGCCCCCAGAAATCATCATGACAAATTTTCGGCCCCAGTTGCTGAATGACGACAACTCATGCAGTAGAACTAGTACACGCTGCTGTAGTAAATGCAGTACATAGTTTTCCGATGTCGTTTTTAAAGGAAGGGAGTGTTTATTAATTTAGTGAGGCTGCAGCAACTTCACAAAACTCTCAGCAGCTTCACATTTCGTCTCATCACCACTGAGGCAACTCAACGCTTAAAAGTTTGAAGTCCCACACATACTTTAACACATTTTAATAGGCTCCACGCGGGCTGCCCGATTGTTGGCTTTACATGGTTTCCTTTGTTGTGCTCCCCACCTCCTCTGCTTTATCCTTTCAAACTCAGACTAGGAAAATAATGTGATGTTTGTTGCCCAGCGTTGTGGTACAAAAACCAGAGGCATTCTTAAAAAAAAAAAAAGAAAAACAAAATCACCAAGTCTTTGGAGCAGCATGTGTCCGCTTGTCTCTAATTGAAATCCATGTGAAATTGTTCTTCACAGCGATTTTTAAATCAATGAAACAGCCCACGGTTTATCATCCCTAACACCTTGGGTCAGACCTTCAGCCACTTTACCAGTTACACCTGCTCAGCTGTTAAAGCAGTCGTTTATGCATTTGAACAGAAAAAAGAAAGTCTTAGCATAAGCATTATTTCCAAAGTAAATGTGTTTATTTTCTGTTTGGAAGAATGTTGGGTTTAATTTGTTTTTTTTTTTCTGAATTGACTCTTCAAATAAAAACCTACTGGTTTAACAAATGCCTATTAGACATGGGCAAACTACGGCCCGTGGGCCACATACAGCCCATTGGGCTTTCTGATCCGGGCCGCCAAATAATGATACAGGTTATGGTATTGACCAATGTCAGTTCTTCTGTTTCATGGATTACAATGAATCAACTGTGATTTCAAAATTAAAATGTATATGTGACTTAATTCTTTATTCTTGTACATTTTATTTAAATGTTTTTTTCCAAAATTCATCCGATGTGATATGTATTTTATTTAAATGTTTTTTTCCAAAATTCATCCGACCACTATTGAACCGGCCCACCAGTCAAATTTTCAACCACATTTTGGGCCGCGACCCAAAATGTTCGCCCACCACTCAGATCTTAAGACTGCATATTCACTCACAGACAGTTGAAAGTCAGCCTCTACCACCCAGATCTTGAAGACTGCATATTTACTCACAGACAGTTGAAAGTCAGCCTCTGCAGTATGGAAGTCCTGCACTGTGTTCAATATCCACCAAAAATAGAAGCCAACTGAGCGAACAAGCGATAAAACGGATAGAAGACAAGGTGTCATACACACGGGGGAGTACGGGGGAGAACAGACAGAGAGTGAGAGTGATTGAAGCATGGTGTTGTCTATTATCAGAGCCATCAGAGAGGATGGATGGGCCGGCAACTCAAAGAGAAGATTGGTAAACAAGAGCAGAAGAGAGAGAGTGTCAAAGCTGTCTTCAGAAACCTGTGGAGAAGTCAAGTCGGCTAATGGATGGGACAACGCCGCGGATACTGTACTGGAGCTACACACTCACAACGTGTGTGTGTGTGTGTGTGTTTCAATGGATTTTGATTAGAAAATAGTAGAAGGAAGCGTGGGACAGATCGAAAAAGAAAAAGTGAGCTCATTCACCTCATCGAGGCTCATGCACACGACACGTGGGAGTTCTTTCACGAGACTAACCAATTAGAAAGAGCCGTTACCATGTTTTAGGAAATAATAAAAATATCTTAAAAAACCAACAAATCCACCATTTTACAACACAACACTGGAAGAGAAAAGCTGTTGACGCAGCTGTGTCTTTGAAACTTAGTCCAAATGTTTCTTGGTTAAATTCCCCAAATTTCTCTCTCTGTGAAACCACACACATACAAACTTCACAAAAGACACAGCAGCAGCAGCAGCAGCAGCAGTAACAGCAGCAGCAGCGGCAGCAGCAGCAGCAGCAGCAGCAACAACAGCAGCAGCAGCAGCAGCAGCAGCAGTAACAGCAGTAACAGCAGCAGCAGTAACAGCAGCAGCAGCAGCAGTAACAGCAGTAACAGCAGCAGCAGTAACAGCAGCAGCAGCGGCAGCAGCAGCAGCAGCAGCAGCAACAACAGCAGCAGCAGCAGCAGCAGCAGTAACAGCAACAGCAGCAGCAGCAGCAGCAGCAACAGCAGCAGCAGCAGCAGCAACAACAGCAGCAGCAGCAGCAGCAGCAGTAACAGCAACAGCAGCAGCAGCAGTAACAGCAGCAGCAGCGGCAGCAGCAGCAGCAGCAGCAGCAGCAACAACAGCAGCAGCAGCAGCAGCAGCAGTAACAGCAGCAACAGCAGCAGCAGCAGCAGCAACAGCCATTGTTTCCCCACAGGACAAAGGATGAAAAACCCCTTAAATTACTCGTAGATATCAAATATAGATATTAAGGCCTGTGGGCTAAATGCAGTCAATAATGCAATTAGATTTAGAAAATGAGATCATTTTAAACAAGACAGTGTGGAGAACATGCACGGCTGAATACAAATCCCAACTTCTTTTCCTTTCTTTTTTTGTTTACTGTTTTTTTTTTTCTTTGGATTTGCAGATGTTCTTGGTAGAAAAGGGACCGTGGTTCCAGAACATTCCATATCAAATCACCAGTATCACAGCCAGACACCAGTGCCTTATTCCTGGTTTTGGCCCGCGGGCCGTATGTTTGACACCCCTGACCAAAACCTTTGTCTTTGAAACATTGATCCAGCCACTGTAGCCTCACTAAAAAAGTCTAGATTTGACCTAAAGATTTAGTCAAATGTTTGCCAATCAAAGCCCGGTCGACTCGTCACACGTCATTCCACCCCAGCACCTCGTTCCTTTTCCTCCCCTGAAACATGACAGAACATTGCCCATAAACAACCATGACAAGTGTGGGTGAACTCTGTGGAGCGTAAAATTTAAAGGAGGAGAGAAACATAATTACCAGCATGAAAATGTGTCATTATGTCATAAAACGTCGGAGCAGGTTACGCAAGAAACAGACAGAAGGACAGACAAGCATCCAGACACGCTCGTAATTGACAAGCACATAATCCAGCTGCCAGTCATCAGGCCAGCGGACCCACCATGAGGGGCTCCGAGTTTCTCTGAGTGTGTGTGTGTGTGTGTGTGTGTGTAGACTATGGCGACTATTGGCAAGCTGTCAGTGGCAGCAACACACATCCACCAAGGCAGTGTCCCTCTGAGGCTTCCCCCAGAGCCTGTCAAACACCAGTGTGTGTGTTGAGGTGAGTCACTGTTGGGTGAACTTCCACTTCTACTGCAGCTGATTATTATTGATCCAGCACTCGCACCTTTACACCACAAACACACACACACACATATCAACACTCAAAACCAAATCCATAAATCTGCACTGCTTTGTAGCCAACATTTTCATGACAGCTGCAAACCATAGACCACACACACACACACACACACACACACCCAACCAACAACCTCAAAAAAAGCGCTTACGCCGCTAAAAAAAGTTCAAGTCCAAAATGCACGTGTCTAATTCCATTGATTTTCCCCTACGCCTCAGCACCTCGTCTTTCTACCTCCGCTCCTCGCAACGTCTTCGGCTGCTGCGAGTGTCAAAACTAGGGATGTCCGATATCAACTTTTTGACGAAATCCTATTGGAGGATACAACGGGGCCGAAATGAGGATACGAACTCCCCGAAATACGAGGTTTCCAAGTTAGGAGTTAGCAACTTTTGATAGATTTTAGGTACGAGTGCTGAGTTATTTTACTCATTTTTATAACAATAATATAAAATGTTTTGTACTTATTACCATTTTATATTATCAATGTATTTGTTTATATCTATGTTTTTGACATTTAGATGGGGGTTAATTTAATTAATTAATAGTGTATTTCTGGGGGGCTGCAACAAATTAATAGTTCTTTTTAATGGCACACGGGTGTTGTTGTGGAACGGGTCATGTAAACTCGTCCACTGTATTGTACAAGGACTTAATTTACAATTCCGATATCAACCGATACCGATATACCAATTCATAATTTTTAGGTCACACATCATTTTGCAAAACCCATGTATTGCGTTATTATGTTTTCATCATCGGGAAAAACGATAATGATTCTTACAGATATTACGCTAATATCGGCCGATAATTTCCATTGGCCAATATCGCCGTCCGATATTATCGGACTTCCCTACTGAACTCTAATAATAATAATTTCCATTGGCCAATATCGCCGGCCGATATTATCGGACTTCCCTACTGAACAATTGGCCAATATCGCCGTCCGATATTGGCTGAACACAGTTACACTGCACCCAAACTTCCGTCCTCTCCCTCTGTCTTTTTTACCTTTTCGATGTGGTCTTGATGATGTCGGACACTTTCTGGATGTAGTCGGTGGCCAGAACCACGATCTCCTCGTCTTCTGAGTGGTTGTCATGGAAGATTCTGTCCAGCAGGCGTTTCCAGTGGAGCTGTGGTGAGACGGGGAAGGGTTAGTGTTGACAAAGCCAACATTGACCAACACAGGGGTAAGTCAAAAAGTGCCAGGACAGCTGCGATTCCCAAAGTTGTCCGATTGATTTCACTAAAACATGTGAGGACACGTCTCCAACGGCTCAGAGTTTTGTCATTAAAAACTTGTCCAAGAGCAAGTTATGAATTTTTCCCCAGGCTTGAATAAAAATAAAATCACTGATGCCTTTCTAAAATATTTGATTCAGCTCCATCCGTTTCTTTTCTGCTCCAAAAAAGTGAAAGAAACTCAATTTCATTCCTTGGACCAAACAGACAAAACTGCTGGAAATTTCCCAGAAATCTACAAAGTAAAAATATTTAATTAATTTAATTCAACCAGTAACCAGACATTTTTTGTACTTGATCTGTGGACAGTTAGGAAATGATATCGGTCAAATACTCCGTCCCTTTGCTCCTGAGAGGTTATTCCCTCCAAGATCAGGGGGGCAGTTATTTTTTTTTACCTCCTCCTCACACTATCTCAAGCCTCATGTAGTGTTACTTCAACCATCTTTATGTCCCTTTTTCACTCCACATTAATTCTGTCTGTCATTTCTTTTCATCATTCTCCTGCCTCACAGCTCCATCCCCAACATCTCCAGTCCAGTTTCTCCACTATCTCTCCTCAGAGAACAACCAAACGTCTTCAAACAAAATATGTAAAAAAAAAAATGACAGAAATTAATTTCAAAATAAATTAAGAAAACAATCCTCAGTGCAGCTGACGTCATTAAACCACAGCACGTTGTCGTTCAGTTTACCACAGACTCTGGTCCAGGACCCTCCAGGGTCCAGAGGAAGAGGAGCCAAGGGGGTTGTGACGATGATAAATGCCGGTGTCAGCACAACCGTGTGCATCAGCGGAGATCGACAGTGTCCCCTGCTTTTCAACTTTGTGAAGTTATTTCACAAATTGGGATTAAAGAGCAAATCTCCAGGGATTACATTCTCACCGCATGTGGAAAGTTGGAGGTGCAGTCATTTTAGGGTTTATCTCTGGAATCCTAGCCTAACATCCTTTTCCTGCTCGGGTGGTGGAGGCAGAGTCAAAAAGTTCTAAGACGTGTCTTACAATCTACTCATTAGTTCAGGGATCTCCAACAGCTTTAACTAATTTAATCATTTTATCTTTGTCAAGCTTTTTTTTGGGTCACATTTTTGACCAAAATGAAGAGAAGTAAGTTGTGACAGATTAAATGATTTTCAAAAGTAGAAATCCTACGATGGAGACACCGCTGGCAGAAAACACCTGAATGCACCGCACAAGACAGAAATACTGTAGCTGTTCTGGTTGCAGGCAACACTATTTTGTCCATTTATACTGTATTCCTGGGTGTCAAACATATGGCCCACGGGCCAAATCCGGTCCGCATGGAGTTTCAATCCGGCCCGGTGGATGAATTTTGAAAACAAAAATGTACACTTCATGTTCAGGAAATGTTTTGTAAAATGATATTTCACTATAATTACTTAAAAAAGAATAATTATAACCACATATATTAAGATTTATCCAATGTACTTCTTTGCATTAAAAACATGGATGTGTTGTTATTTATAGGTAATTAGGAGTTGGACACCCCTGCTGTACGCTCTACTCTGCAAAAAGTCTATTTCCCTTTAAATGGAGTCATTTTAAATAAAATTGACTAAGGAAAAAAATTGACCTAGGACCAGGTGAAGTAATGGACTCAACTGGACAGAACCCATGGCTCTGAGGCTGCTTCTGTCCACGCTTCAGGCCCTCACTCCATCACAGTCACATTACACATAAAATAACTCACTGAAACACGGTACTGTTTGTTGGACTCACACCATTCAAATGTGAGGGGTGATAATAGAGACAGCAGAGACTGACACAGCCGGCAGTCACATCTGTGGTCCGTTTGAAATTAATGAATCTCCTGTAAACCCAAGGCTACTGATGTACCTTCATTAAAATCCTGCCCTTGCTTCAGGTCTGCTTCTGACCCGGTCTGCAATCAAACAAACTCCAAGCACGCTGCCGGCACTGGAGCCACAATAGGTGAGAGAGCCGCTTCACACACACACACACACATTAACTCTGGATTAAATGGTGTTAGTACATGTATGGGGGTATATTTATTTTTCATAACTACATATTAATGTTTTTTTTTCAGTTGACTGCCAGCAGCTATTTGAAAGGGCAGCCAAACTCCTGAACTGGTGCCGTGTGTTGCAGTACATAAAGAGAACAGAGGAAGGTGCTGCTCTGCAGGTTTAAAATATATATATAGAACAATTCAAATTATATTGACACAATCTTCTGGACTATAAGTCGCACCTTTTGTCGTCCCCTGGCTGGGTTTGCGACTTATACTTAGTAATATTATGGTAATCCAAATATTGAGATGCAAAAAAAATTCTGAAAATTCTTTCCTGACGTTGTGTGTGTGTGAATAACGACATTTATTTATCATTTATTGTTATAACAGCAACAATAAGTGGATGAATTGTAGAGATAACCTTAATTTTTTTATTCGAGTTAATTTCATATTCATTAATCAGATAATTTAATCAGCATAACTATCAGTGATAATGGGTTCATTTTGACAGTCCTACTTTACCCACTCAGTTTAACGTGGTTTGTGTCTTATACAGTAATCTGTCTAATCTACTGTCGTTGGATTATTAATATAAATTATATTAATATTTATTTCAAATTAGCACACCAGCTCTGAGAAAAGAAACTTAGTATTTTATTTAATAAAATGAATGCTTCCTTTTGTCCAGGAGCTGAAGGGAATCTATCTATCGCCGCATTTTTGCCTCAAAACACCAAAACCCTCTTTTAAAGCCCAACTGGTGCAAATTTTCAAGGAAAATGATTATTTTCTATTTAAAAGCCAAGAAAACAAGAATAAATTCAATAAATGTATTTTTATTTTCCACCTCTTTCCTTGTAAACCCCTGCTCTTGTTGAGAGTTACTGTGGACCAGCATCTCTGAAGACTGAAGATTTCTTTCCTTCCAAATTCTGAGTGACGCTGCTACAGGCTTTTACTTGTGTTTGAACTTTAGATCCAAGTAAAAGGAAATAAACAGCGGCGTCTCACGGTCGAGGTACATCGGAGGATTCTCTCAGCTCGGGTTGAACCTTCAACCTCTAATTTGTATCTTTCCATGTTTTCTCCTCTTCCCAGTCAGTGCCTCTCGGTTCACGCTCTGCTTTCATGTGTGTGCAGTTGGGTTTTTTTTTCTGACTGAAAAAATCTAAAAATTGAACTTTTACTCTCCGAGGTGTTATTTCTACTCATCGTCCTGAACCGTACTGTGGGAGAACCCTCAGCTGGTTCTCCCTCCTCCCTCCTCATGTCTTCTTGTTCTGCTTTACCAACAACTATGAAAACAGCCGTCCTGTCGTAAAACCCACAATTTTAGCGGTTACCGTGAGTCAACACGGGTCATATGTGATGTGAGGATCATCTTTTTGCGGATGATTTGTTCATGATTAATTCTCACAAAACCAAAACCACTGAAGTGTTCACGTGTTTCGTTACATTTGATTTCACACGTTTTTGTTGTTTTTTTGCGTGTATGTAATACTCACACTAGGAGCCATGCGCTGGAGCTGCTTCAGGGTGATGCGATTGTACATGGTGCTGATGTCCTTTCTTTGGTCGTCGTAGTCGGACACGGTGATCTGGAGAGACAACAGAGGCGTACGGTCGGAGACGTGACGTATTCATAGATGTCAGGTTGGCACCAACCTCCCGTCTCCACTGGCAAAGCAAACTGGATTTTTTGTGATATGATTCATCAATGACGTTCACATTTTTCAGAATCCCTTCACTTAGTGATTTAACATCCAAGTGTTTGTGATCTGTGTGGAGCAGGGAGATGTATCAACGTTCCCAGTTGCTCATCACTTTGATAGAAGCTATAATCTGGTTGTCACATCAAATGTCGTGTATATTCCTTTAAGCTGTCAAAATGTATAACCAGGTGTAACGTGAACATTTGCGGGAAACAAAATAAAAAATAATGTTTGCTGCAGAATAAACGCTATGGAATAAGTTAAAAAAAAAAACAGGTACAGTAGGAACTACACTCAGCATAATGAGCAGAACAAAGGAAATAAAAAGTATAATTAGTACAATAAGTACTGTACAAAGTACAACATGTATAGCTATTGATAAAAAATGTCAAAAAATATTCTATGACAGTAAATCTTTTAAATGATTTGTGTTTGATGGACATTTTTTTGTCTTAAATTAGCACATGATCCAGTCATTGGACGGTTGGAAAATAAACCTTTTTACTTCCATGTTGAGTAAAACTCTGATGGTAGTGTCAAAGGAAAATACTGCCTTCACTGATACTGTACACACACACACACACAGAGGGGGTGGGGGTGGGGGTGCAACACTTACATTTGCCAGGCGTGTCTCGAGCTGTATAATCTCCTTGGATTTCTGTGTGGCATTGTGGGCTCCCAGCATGCTCAGCAGGCGTTCCATTAGGGCCTTGTACGCCGCCAGGATCTGACAATGACAGTGACATCAGTGGGAAACAACATCGTCCGCCACAGCCAGAGAAGGAGCGCAGTGAAGTGACAGAGTGGACGTCCAGGAGGAACTGTACGTCCAGTGAGTAAGGACGACTACTGTGATGAAGGAGGTTTATGTTAAAGAGAGAACAGTTTAGACAAATGAAGCTTCGATCTCCAGCATTTACAGCCAGTGCTGCACTGCAGCACATTTATTCAGAAATCGAATAAATTGTATAAAGTTTTATCATATATTTGAGTTGAGGTTTTATTTCACAGAAGATAAATACGTTTTCTTCATTATCATCAAAACTGAAAATTCAGCTACTAAATATTTTAAGTTGTGTTTTTTCTTTTTTTTTTCCACAGAAGTGTTAAAAATGTCCTGGACAAAGCAGAGGTGGAGGTCTTTTGGCCCCTGTCTGCACGTCCTGACGTAGGTGTCCAAAAAATGTGGGATTTCCAGACAATGTCTTCCATTTTTTTCAAAAGATTCAGCTAAATGTCAAGCACAAAAGACATCCATTTTTTGGACATTCAGAAGATTCTAATTCAGCTAAATGTCAAGCACAAAAGACCTCAATTGGCTCTGAGTTGACGGAGACTTATTGGTTCATTGGTTCAGTCTGAAAATGATCACGGACGAGAACGTCAACTGACAAAACTACATCTGTCAGTATGGACAGGAAGAACAGACTTTTAATTTTTTTAATTTACAGTTTGACTGATCTGAAAGTGACAACCAATATGTAACTTATCAGTATCTGGCATCAGGAATTTTCAGTTCATTTTTGACAATGAGGAGACATTAAAAAAACAAGCAGTGACAAATCCCTATAAACAGCAGAAAGAGGAGGAAATAAAGGAAGAGCTTTTGTCCAAACAACAGAATCGTTCTTACACTCAAAGGAACTGTTTGGATGTTTGTTATTTTGATCAACCTGTGTGTATTTATATTGGGGTGAGCTCACTGTTGTTACCAATCAGAGCTCGTCCGACTTTTCAACCATGTTGGTCTTAAACCTCGGTGAAAAGCAAGAATGACTTGAAATTGAAAATCTAATGAGACGGTGACTGTGTTATTATAAAGGAAAGAGAAGCCAAACCACTTCTGGAACAGAGAAAAAATGAACACAGAAGCAGTTTCATAATCTCAGCCTACTCAAGGCAGACCCACCAAATTAGACTCCATAGACATAGACTTGGTGTAAGAACATTTTGTTACACGACTGCTGAGTAAAAAAAACTAACTAACTAAGACTTGGCAACTACCTCTGTGTCTGGTTTGACTTTGTCTCTTAAGGGACCTGCAGCTCGGAAGTTGTGGAGAGTGAAGATAGAGGTGTTTACCTTCACGCTGTCTTCATCCTGGCCAAGGTAGAGGCTTCTCTCAGGGAGTGTGAGGCCCTCCTGATCAATCTGCACACACACACACACACATATATATATTTCAACAAAGTGTTGATACATACAGTATAATAGACTATATCCCGCCTTGTTTATTATCACATCATTTTCATGTTGCGTTTCAGCTGAATTTCTGAACCCCGTCTCCCAGACATTAATGCCTAACTGTGTAACCTGCATCATTATCCTGGTGAGTCATCCTCATGACTGAGAAGGCTCATTATTAAATCGTCTTCTCTGTTTTAAACCCAGTGAATCACACTGTTCTACAATAAAGCACAGGTCTATATCTGAGGTAAGAATGTCAAAAACATTATTGGAAAAATAAGAAAAAAAAAAAGTAAAATAATGTAAACGTGGATAATCCTCATGGAAGTTGTTCATATCAGCGTGAACTCAGATATTGAAGGATTTTGAACACTATCTAAACCAGTGAAGTGGCTTCTTACAGACTTTACATTCACTGACAAAAACCCATCCAAACACACTCACCCTGATAGCGTTCCTGGAGGAATTCTTGTCGTCCACATTAACGGTGAGGGAGAAGAACACTGGGGTGCTGTACACCCCCTGGGTTCTGTAAAGCAGTTCGTTAAAGTCCGGTCTGGGCGGAGCGCCGTCTTGCTCCCACCCGGCAGCACCGGGCGGGGCCCCCACCAGGTCCCACCCACCACAGCTGTCTATCACGTCCGTCATTGGGTCGGAGCCCAGCTTGTCAATCTCCTGGATGTTAATACAGGACTTGTAGAACTCCTTCACCTTGCGCTCTGCCGAGTTCGGTTCATTCCGACGTATCGGCTCCAGCAGGAGGTGCTGCAGCTTCTCCTCGTTGTGCTCCCCTATGGCGGTGATGATGCCGTAGCTGAGCTTGTCCTCTGGGATGCCGTGGCGCCTCAACCAACCGCCACAGGCGAACGAGTAGAAGTCCTGGCAGGGCTGGATCGTGGGGTCGATATTGGCCTGAACCATGCGAGCCGTGCGCAACAAGGAGCGTTTGCGTTGGCAGTCCTGGCGACACTGTGGGTCCTGCTGGGCGTCCAGAGAAATGTACTTAAGTGCCAGCATGCTGCCCAAGATGACACACATACCGGCTGCAAAGACTAAAGCTGAGAGCAGACAGATCTCCCTACGGCTCCACCGAGGAATTCCACGGCCGTTTGCCGTATTGTTTGCATCTTTATTTCGACCGTTTGACCACGTCCCTCCTCGGCTACGCCCCACATGTCGGTCCAAGCTGCCCCCCAGGTGAAGCGTCATGCCGTTGCTGAGGATGTCACTGCTGTATCGACCGCCGTATTTGACCTCCTGGAACTCGTCGTAGTGGGCAGTTAAAGAGTAGGTTTTCTCCATGCTAAAATGTTGTTTGTAGGTGGAGGGCAGTGAGGAGATGTGTTGGCAAAAAAGGATGAAACAGACGTATTCCTTTGTTCAAAGTTCTCTCATGGCTTATCGGGTCGTTCCAAAATCAAACACAGAAGTCGAAATCCTTCGAGGCAAAGTCCAATTGTTTTGACATCAAGAGTCTGTGGACTAAGGTTCTCTCATTTTCCCTAGGAATTCTCTCGGGTTCTGCTTTCTTTTGCCTTTCAGTGATGGTTTCACTGCTGCTTTTCCATTCCCCCTCTGGTCAATCCATTTTCAGGTGAGCTGTTAAACAAAAGAGAATGAAAACTGAGTCGACAGAGAAGGAGTGATTGGAGAAAGAACACAAACAGCGCTGTTTTGAATCATCTCCCACCAATACAGGTAATCTTGCTGTTTGTCAGTAGTGCTGTGGAATTGATCAGTGAAAGATCATCAGGTTAGAAGAGAATCATCTGAGCATCAGTGTGAAAAAGACAGATGGTTAACACCGAACGTTAGCTTTGGTCAGTTCAAATTCATGACAAGACAGAAAAAACAAACACAGTAAGTTGATGAGCCACATTTGTATTACAGAAACATCTCTGCATATTACATATATAAATATATACATATATAGTATATATACTATATATGTATACATAACATACATATATATGTATATATTAATATATTATATATGTATATACATATACTGTATGTATATATGTATATATTTAAATGCTGCAGTTTTACCTCAATAATAATATCAATTATTAGGTTGCTAGTCAGGATCCCCGCCGCAACCTACGCTAGGCAACAAATACTCAAGCATTCAATACATACAAATACTCAAATACTCAAGCACCTCCTCTGTGATAAAAGCCAAACACCCCGGGCCGTCCGACTTTACTCACTGTACAACACCAACACCAGTTGTCCAAACTCAACTCGGTCATTGTTCTCAACCGACTGTGCAGAATCCATCCATATTCTCCACCACGCCTCAGGTGACACCTCTTCTTCTACCATCCATCCATATTCTCCACCCCGCCTCAGGTGACACCTCTTCTTCTACCGCTGTGACAAACACCAACATTCCTGTGTAGAACCATCGCCGCAGACACTCACAGTGGTCTACGGGACCTTGTCTTGTCTGAGTAAGCTGACTGATGGCTCCACATCCCACATGTACTCTACCATCTGGAACCTTCTGCAGCAGGAGAGATGGAAACACCGTACAAAAAGGCGGAGGTCTGCTACGTCTGGGAGGTGTTCATGTAGCCTGTCGGATGAATGCTGACATGACGAGATAAGATTAGTTAATTTATTCATTCATTTATTTTCTACTGCTTAATCCTTTATTGGAGTCTTGAGGGAAACTGGAACCACTACCAGCGTTTGAGGAGGGCAGGGTGGACCATGAGATAGTTAATTAGAGGGTGACATATAGAGACAAACAACCATTCTCACACACATCCATACTTAAGGTTTATTTGTATTTATTCCAAGTCTGTGGACTGTAGGGGGATGTAGGAACACCAAGAGAAATCCACACAGAAAGACAGGGGATCGGAAAAAAAACAAAAAACAAATCAATGATCCTCTTGTTGACATGTAATAGTTATTCATTAATATTGTCTAAATATTACATCTTGTAACGTTAGCCTTAATTGTCAAAATGCTCCGATTGCCCAAAGCTATGTTAAATAGAGCTGTAAGCTATGCTAATATACATTACCTCTGGCTAACAGTAGTGCTAATCAAAAGCTAACATCCATGTGATACAGTGCTAAAAAAAAGTGAACTGCGTGTTTGAGTATCAGGAGTTTAACTGCAGTTGATGACAGTCTTAAACATCGACAGTTAGCCAGCAACACGTCCACTTTCCTGTCCACTCCGGAGCTGTTGCATTAGCTACGACGGCTATCACAGCTACAGCTGTTCAGCCCATTCCAAACATTGATTTAGAGACTCCCAGAGCCAAGTTTCCACATCATTAAGACGTGTCTCCAAAGTTTCAGAGAAAATAGCCTAATCACAAGTACTGTTCATGCTCATTAAAAAAGGCATGGGAAGTGGGTTTAATTACTGCTAAGCTAATGGCTAGACTAACGTAATTACCATTGGTAGTTATGTTTACAGGTGGTTAATTCTGCATGGTGAAGTGACTGCTAACCAGTTAAAATGAAACATTACTACAGAACCTTTAGAGGAATGAACGATAATGTTTCTTCTGTTCAAATGAAAAAAACATTCGCTCTGCAACTACAAGGGATTTATTTTAGCTTTTTTTTTTGCACAACAGTTAGTCTCCTCCAAGGATAATCTTGGCTAAAGAAAACCCCACAAACGTCCTCGCCCTCACTTCATCTTCTTTGGACCTTGACCTTTGCACTCCTTTCATTGCCGCTACTATTACATCTGTTTTCCACTAGTAATTACAGTGTTTCACGCAAATAAAGCAGCACCTTGTATAAACCCACCTTGGTCATTATATTGAAAGCATCACCCACAGTGCTAGTTTTTATGTTTAATATATATAATTATGAATTATTTATATGTATGCACATATATGTACATACATACATATAGACATATTGCTCTTCAGAACATTTGCACTTATCAAGTAAACATTATTTCACTACTAACCCTCCCGCTGTGTGGTATAAAAAACTCATTTTGCATACCATTCCAGGCATTCACTGACATTTGCATTAATAGCAACTTCATAATGTTGTTTTGGTAAAAAACAAAAAAGAAAAAAACCCAAAACAAACTGGTGCTGCTCTATTAATCTAATCACAAATGCATTTCGAGAAAGCACAGTTATCCAACTGTGAAATGCAGTGATTAAATAAATTATAAATGTGTAGGGTCTCTGACCAGTGTTGTATTGTTTATGTCTCATTAAAACTGAATTTCTTCAGCACACGTTGACTCTGCACTGAACGTCTTCCTATTCTGCAGGCGAGTCTCAGCTTTTCTAATTCAACTTTTATTGTGATTAACGCTCCATTTAAACAAATGTGAAAAAGTAGACAAACTGTTTGTTTTTTTTTTAATCTCTGTCTGACTTTATTATGAATGAGAATCTTGAATCAAATTTCCTCCATTCACTACAGGCTGTATTTTATACCAGCGTCACAATACAATATATCTTTCCTGTACAGTCTTTGAATTGATCATCATCACTCGAAGATTGATTTTTGTTTCTAAAGCAACATGAATGAACATTAATAAGAAAAAAGGCTTCATCAATATTCTGGCTTGAACTGTGGCTGGTCTAGTGCCACCTGCTGCTCAACTTAAACATTAGATGATGTTAGCAAGTAGTTTAGGCACGAGGCTTCCATACATTATAATGTCACCATGGCCACGTCAAACAAACGCCACACACTTCAACAGCAGATGTTGGTAATGTTAATGTCAGTGAAGTGAAGACAAAAGTACATTTAACAATTAGCCAAAAACTGCAAAGGAGTTGAAAATAAACCAAATCTGTGCAGTGACATCATCGCTGTCAATCTATTATATCATCCATCAATCTGCTGCCTTCACTGTCTCTACGTCTCTGTGGTTAACACACACACACAGACACACACACACACACACACACCCCCCTTACTCCCCCTCTTTCAAATGCACACACTTTCTCCAGTGTCAGAACTCCTTAAGAATAATAATAAATTATACGGGCACTATATGTATGTGTACGTGTGCACACACACACAAACACACACACACAAACACACACACTGGACGCGCAGCCCACTAATGCTCTGGGTCTCGTGTGGGTATCATCACACAGAGAGCAGCATGCATGATGAATGGCTATTTACCAAACATGACAGGACCTAATATCTGAAAGTTACACTCGTACTCTCTGAATTACTCTCTCTCTCTCTCTCTCTCTCTCACACACATACACACACACACACACACACGTGTGCATGTACAAGAGCTTTGAAATTGCACCAAACAATTATTATCGGTCATGCATATACCACCTTGTCAGTTTCCAGGCATTCGGCTATATATTTTTTCCCCGCACGCCGACGTTCACATCCAGCGAACGCTCTGAAAGTGTTGTCCTGAGAGCAACGAGGTTCGAAACTCCCAGAATTCTTCGATTGGATACACTTCGCAGACAAAGTACCTTTTTTTATTATTATTATTTCACAGAAAGACCCTTGTAGTTCCCTGAGGTAACGCTTAAGAATATTAATGAATAACCAACGTTTTTTATTGAAGGTTCAAACCTAATGATGAGTAAATAAACACTTTGACCTTTGGTCAATGTTGCTGGATGTAGAATGATTGTCTTATTTGTACAATTATTTTTTGTCCTCGTGAGATGGGAGTCAAATATTGGAATAATCTCATTATTTACAATAATTTGACCCCTTAATGACACGGTTCATTTCATTAATTAGTTCTATAGGATTAGGATCCTGCTCACACGCTCTAGAGACTGTTTTACTGCAACCTGCGGCTTCTTTACAGCCAATCAACTCACTGCACTAACTGATGTATCACTTAGTGACGCGAAGTCAAACAGCATGAATCATCGTTAGTCCGTCATCGTTAATGCACCGTGATCTCCTCAAAGTCAAATTTAAATCTGATGTGTACGGCAAGTTTCCTCAAAACATGCTACATTTTAAGTTTCATTACAGTAACAACATGAGCTTCAACACAAAGTACTCAGAAAATACTGCCTCAACATTTGAGTGGTATATACAGTAGGTATTTAAACCAGAGGTTTTTCCTGATAACATTTTTTAACAGATAAACCTGACTTCACTGCTACCTGAGAGCAGAAAAAACTTTTATGTATGCGTTTAATAATTTAGAAAAGCCAAAGAGGAAACTTTTATGTATGCGTTTAATAATTTTGGATTTTAATAAAAAATTCGAATCACCTTACTGGACAAATGTCCACCATACCAGGTATAAACTTTATAAAAGTTATTTACGATGTTTTCTTTGATGAATGTCAGATACTGTAAGAAGATATTAAAACATTTAAAGACACTGACAACTTCTTGCCTGAGGAAGAACAAGACACACAGGGACACAGCATGTGACAGAGGTGCAGAGTGGACTTGTTACATTTTTAAAATAACCGATGTTAAAAGTGAAACGAGAGCATGAGTTAAGGAAACAACACCTTTTAACGGCTGCAGGTCTTTTCTCTAACTGCTGCTTGTAAAATCTCAGGAAATCAATGGCCGGTCAGTGAGCCAAGACCTCTGGCAGGTCGGGTTCACGTCACTTTGACTCCTCAGACACAGCCTAGTTTTTCTGGATAGTTAAAGTATTGTACAAAGACTGACTGACAGTGTTAACGTTGCCAACTCTGCCCCTGTGGTGCCAGCTACGGCCAAGAGTTTACCCCTGTCCATCGTCTCACCACCAACCTCAACAAGAACAAGAGAGAGTGCAGGCAGCCCTCGTTTAAAAAAGAAACAAAGTACAGAACTGAGACCTGACTGTTTACCTCAGAAAAGTTAGAACCACATATGAAAGGGAAAGGGAAAAAAATATTTTTAAACATTTTTAAACAACACATATTTGTAAATGTGGCGCTTTGGCCCAGAGGCAATGTCTCTGTCGTTGGTGTGGAAGCTAGGGTTCACGATCAAATCCCAGTTAGGGCGGTTGGTACTTTCCAGTGGACTCACCACCCGCAGGAAGATTTGGGGGGGGGGGTACAGTGCAGTGTGATTTGGGTGGAGACTGCTGCCCCCGAGACCCGGATAGATGGATGGACATATTTGTAAGCTTTAGTCAAGAACTGCTTCATGTTACACAGTATTTGCCATGATATTTTGGGGGCAATTTTGGGCCTAACAGCTGGATGGATGGACAGACAAAACTTCAATAATACCTCGGGAGTTCCTTGGGAGAAGTTAAGGAAGCCAGCCGGTTTAATTATACACTAAAAAAACTGACTTGTTGTATTCAGTACTTCACCAACTGTGACGTACACATTTCTGGTGGAAAAACTGAGGTAAAGTGCGGACGTGAAAATCTAATCATATGTGACGCTCGGATCGTGCAGACCTAAAAATCTAATCATATGTGACGCTCGGATGTAAATGTTGAGGAGTGATTTATTTAAACAGTGTGAAGATGGTTTTGCTTCACAAAGCGCTGTTTCATTCTGTTCACTCTGTTACTGCACCACTCACATCAAACCTTCTAAATATAAAGGATCTGTCACGGAGAAAAGAGACGAGAGGAAACCAGTCATCTGAGATCTGTTTCTTCAAGTTGGAAACTTCTGTTTGTTTCTCACTGTAAATCCACTCCCATAATGAAAACATGACTGGCACCAACGTTTGCCAGGACTTTACTCCTCATCCAGTGCTGCCTTCTAAGGTTCAGAAGTGTGGGTTTGTGACGGGAGACAACAATCTGCTCTAATTTAAATCTCGTTCATGAGTGAGAAACTTTAATACCTTTCACATTGTGATCAACATAGTCTTAAGATAAAGACCATTTAAGCTAATGGCTAACTCTGTTCCTGGGAGATTTTTGTCCATGTGGCAACGCTAACGATCACAACGTGACAGTTTGCGATAAGAGTCCTTTAAAAACACCTCGTTATTCATTAAATTTAATTCATCACAGAGTGCCTCGGTGCCTAACTGTCCCTTTAAACACACATTATTGTGATGTGTGGGTAATTAAGTCATTCACTTTAACAACTTCACAGGCAACTTTTTTTTTTTACCAGCCTGGATTTGTGAGCATATCAAATACAAATGTAAACCGTGCGTCAGACTGAGCTGGGTTATCTCTCCACACTTGCAGTGCTTTAGGAGATACGAGCCGCGGCATTCCAGAAGTCAACTCAAACATCAGCACATGGAAATTGTTCCCCTGGGCGATCGACAACAGACAGACTCCCTCCACTGGAGACGTGAAGTCACTCGCGGGCAACATCATCTGGCGAAAGATTTACAAAGTTTCCAAAGGGAACGTAACAAAGACCGTAAAACATATCAGTTAATTCCAGAGATGTCGGCATTATTTACTGCCGAGTCTGGGGGAAGAAAATATTGTTGCACGCCGCGGTCTGTAACCAAACACCCAACCTGTTCAATCCTCACACCGCCTGCAGTGTCACGCTCCACCACATGATGTGTGTGGTGTCTTCCTCAGAACTTATCACTGAAACTATTACACTCCTGCGTTTCCACTTTGCGGACACACAAACGAAACACCTGAGCATAAACACGCGCAGAGCACTCTCTTTTCCTTTGCGTTCAGTTTGTGATGATATTCAGTGGTGGCCAGAAATCGAAGCTGCACTTGTTTTTTTTTATATCTCCCCTCTGCTGCTTTACATCACCTGAAAGCCCACCCTCCAATAAATGGGTTTATTATCCCTTAATCAAAGTGGTCACACAGCCTGCCCCTGAGACTTCACGGCACTCGGGGAGCTGGAGCGGAGGAGAAACCCCCGGAGCCTTATCACCAGTCACCAGAGTCAGCAGAAGAGCGCCATGGTCTGTTTGCATGGACCACAGCTTTGGACACAGGGCTCAAGTGCAGCACCAGCACTCACAGCGTCATCCACTCCAGATGGGCGGAGCTGTTTGTGAACCTCTATTCAAGGCCCCTGCCATAAGGAAAACAACGGACGTGCTCAGTGGACAACCCCACTCTAGACTCAGACTCAGACCTGAACGCAGCCATTCACCTCTGACACCACCGCAGCTTTTCACTAACCTCAGTATAATTTACTTCTAGTAATTACATTAAATGTCATGCTTCAAAAACTGGGTTCTGGCTGAAGACGACAGGTCCTGACAGGATCAAGGATGAAGAGAGAGAGAGGTAGAGAGAGGTAGAGACTGGCATGTACGAGGCACTTACAGGCACTAACTCTATTAACCATAACGACTACTTCAAATCTGTCTCCTGGATACAGCAGAGAGCCATATCAATTATTGACCTTTTTTTATTATTGGTTTAACATTTAATGTTAAAACAGGTCAAATCTCTACTCTACTACTATACTGTCTAGACCACATGTGTCAAACTCAAGGCCCGGGGGCCAAATGTGGCACGGCAAATCATTTTGTATGGCCTGCGGGAGCTTCAAAATCATTTAAAATTAAAATGTTTTTTTATTACACAGAGTAATGAACTGTGTTTTTAACTTGAATAAATTGCAGACACATTTATTAATATGTTACTATGGAGTAGTTACATCTATACAGACTACCGTTTATAACCGGCCCTTCAAGGGGAACTGTATTGGTGATGCCGGCCCCCCCTCCCGGTGAAAATGAGTTTGACAGCCCTGGTCTAGACCCTACTCTTCACTGTGGAGTGTTTATTTCAAGGGGACACTGTGTAGACGTGAGAACATTTCAATATGAATATCACGTAAAAAATCATTTCAACCTAGAAACCGCGATTCGCCTCCTTCAACTGAGAGACTGTCGGGTCAGCAGAATGTAAGCCGAGCGGCAGCGATCTTTCTTTCAACGTCACCGAACATTTCCCGTGGGAATAACGGCACTGAGTGGAAAGCAGGGCTGCTGAGCTGCCGTGACTGTGATCAGTGTCAATAAAGAAAAACTTTTTTTGGCAGCTTTCGAGTTTTGTTTCCATTGCTGTTGATGTTGTTGTTGTTGTTGTTGTAAACGGACCGTGCAGTTGCTGGTTTCAACCCGCACTGACTTCTGCGCACGTGTGTGTTCTGCACGTACGGGGAGAAACCAAACTTCTGTCCGCGTGTGTAGGAGAATAAAAAACAGTGTCATCACCTGCGTCAAGGACCTAAAAAGCTCCACTCATCTGTGAGTCAGCTGTAAAAGGCGACTCTCAGTTCAAACGGCACCACTTCCCATTCAACCCGGGTCGTAAATAACAAAAATATTAATTTTAAAGACAGGTCTTCATTCGATGCCATAACGATGCACAAACAAACCGACTGACGGGACGAACTCTTCTCGTGGTTTTGCATTTTCTTTTCTTTTTTTATGATTGAAAGTTGTGAATATAATATTGAATACCTGAGATGGAAGAGTCTGGATCAAGGCTGAGAAGGACAACAAAGTATCAGTACCTGGTCTCCGTGGGTCTCGGTGAGCGTGGACGCAGGAGAACCACAGCACCACAGGGTCCGGTCGGACTGTCACTCCTTCTGCTCCTCCTCCTCCTCTTCATCTGGAGGTGGACACACAGGGATCCGCACCGCTCTCCTTCTGCCGCCTGCTCTGTATCTGACATCCGAGCAAGAGTGAGGAGAGAGTGAGAGAGGACGGGGAGGATAGGTATGGAGGGGGAGAGAGAGAGAGAGAGAGAGAGAGGGGAGGGACAGCGAGAGTGAGGGAGGGACAGAGAGACACAGAGAGAGAGACTTTAATAACGAGGTACAGCGCACTGATGCACACAGAGGAAGGGACACACACCTCCACCGACCCTTTGACTTCCATTTATTTGAACCCAAACCTCAACGTTTACCTTATTTATCAAGTTAATTACTGGCCGTAACCTCTGCTGAAAGTGATTAGCACTGTTGCCTTACAGCAGGAAGGTCACTGGTTTGATCCCCAGTGTTGTTTCTACCTCACACTTACACAGCGGTTTTTCCTAAAGTCCAAAAACCTGCCGGGGTTGGACACTCCAAGGTGTGAGTGTCTACACCACGTTTGTCCAACGACTGCTGGGATGAGGCTGCAGATGCATCAGCAACCTCCAAGATGTTAACCTCTCGTCCTTCATCGCCTCATCTCTGAGACAATGTTGATACAACAGGCAACAAATTTGAAAGTAATTAGTTACTGAACTCCCCTTAACTGTGATTGGTTGGTTCGGTGTCAGTCACTGCAGCTGATACCACAGTCTAATTTGACAGATAGATGGAGCGTTCATGTGAAGTAAGAGAAACGACATGTCAAAGTCATCCATAAAGGCTAAAATGTTAAAATGCTTTTATCATTTTCTACGCCATCTATTGGGGAGATGTGGGTGTTGCAGGGAAAGGCAGAACTATAATAATAATATAAATTAAATTATATAATTTAGAAATTATATAGTTTGGTGGGCCGCTTCCGGCCCTCGGGCCTTAGTTTGCCCAGTTTGGTGGACCGCATCCGGCCCTCGGGCCTTAGTTTGCCCATGCCTGCTCTAATGGGTCCTGCTGTCAATCACAAGCTTTGACCAATTACAGCCATTTGTCTCTCTTCTATGTCTTGTCCCTCTATTTCTGTCTGCAGGCAACCATAATTGACAAAATTGAGCATATGTTTGGAAGAAGATGACGTAGAACTGATTAAAGGAACCAATGAATCATCGGGACAACAATCACTGATGTTACAAATTGAGAGAGAGAATCAGCCTCGGTTCACTTAAAAAAAACTCCATGACGTCTGGAACCAGCAGCAACCACTCTGATGTTTCCTGGAAACTTCTTCTGCTACAACCACCTGAACCCATGTCTAGTTATATATACGACCTACACAGATGACTCAGGACATGAAGTTATTTTGGTTTAAAAGGTTTAATCCATGCTAACCTGCCGCGTCATGGCTTTGTCCGTCGAGTTCTCTGAGTTGCATTCACTTGTCATTCGTACAGCCTGGTGTTGTTGGGCAACACTGGGCTATTTACCCTCCCTCATGTCCCTGCAAGTAAATGTATTTGTAGTGCAAAAGCACTGTATATTTTATGTCAGATTTTGATATTTATTTTTCCACCAAATAATAAAAAAAACATTAAAATATATATATTTTTTAAAACAGCGAGGTTTAGGTGTAAGGTAGGATGTGTCTGTTTTTTTTTATTTGTTTAAAATATAAAAATGCCATCATGGTTCCTGTTGAACGGAGGGGTTTGTCATTTGTTGTCATTCACCGTGTTCCTCCGACTGTAACCAGCGGCTCAGGAACATGGTTTTGGTTCATTTACGAAAGGCTTTGGTACTGATCTGAGCTAATGATCCTGACAAGGTCTGTGTTGATTTAATAAAAAAAGGTAAGGGCGCACACACACACACACACACACACACCTACACACACAGTTGTGCGACTGCTTTTTAATATTTCAAGAGTTATTTCTTCAGGTGACTTAATTGCACACCTAGGATCATTTGTTTCGAGGAAAAAAGCCAACAGGGAACTCACACTGACAGAATGGTGAAAAATAATGCGTAAAATATTTATTAAAAAACACTGTTAAAAAAAAAAAAACCTTGAAAAGGGGCCGCTTCATAACAATATGCCCCCTTCCTGTAAGAGTTTGTTTTGCATTACGTGTCACGACTACTTCTAGCAGATGTGAGGCGCTGGAATTGACTCTAAAAAAGAGAATGGCGGAGAAATGAATAAAGATATGGCTGACTAGTTTCAACAACTGTCTGCTGTTGAACTCAATCTGTCTTAATTTGTATTGGTCCAAGTAAACATTTTCATATTACCACGGTAGTTTCAAAAAAATGATAATAAAAAATACAACTTTCTGTGGAAGCGTGGTAAATCAATGTTTTTGGAAGAATGTTCACTGGACAAAGACACCAGTGAATTACAGACTATCAATAACACAGAGTTTACAGCAGGTAAAATAACAATGTATTAAATGTATCTGCTGTTAGAGTTCACCCGTGTGTTTGTTTTCCCCAGGTTCTCCTACTAACGTTACACCAACTCCAACACTGGAGGTGGCGCTCAGTCAGTGTGAAGGCTGATGTTTCCACCTCTTTTCACTCTAGTGTCATGTTACACTATACTTGTAGTAATATTTTGTGCAGGTTTAAGGGGCGAAAACTCTCATTTGTAAAACTCAGACTCAGAATCACAGCCAAAAGTTGAATTGGTTTCTAAGCTTGAACTACATAAATACTTAACAGTTACTCCAGCAGGTTTGTTAGTTGGGCTGCTGACAGACCCTATTTCAAATATACAGTATATTAAAGTGTTACGTACGGCAGGTGCAGGGGACGCAGGCCGGACCAATCGGCAGCACTCGGGAAAACGAGGATCAGGTGCAGTTTCCACATTATTAACGTCCAAACTTAAATCAGACGGAACGTCCAACAGAACACGCAGTCAGTGGAGAAGCACTGGGAAACAGACCTGGAGTTCAGGAACACAAAGGAACAATGACAGGAACCATAATGACTGGAACCCAACAAAGACAGAGAGACATAGAGAGAGAGAGAGAGAGAGGGGTATTCATCTATATCCAGAGCACCAGGTGAGACCAGTGAGGCTGATTAACACAGAATCACAGGTGAGAGTGATGAAACTAATTACCACAGAGGAGACAACAGGTGCATGCATATAAACTTATACAAGGAACCAAACAGACATGACAACAGGTGCATACATATAAACTTATACAAGGAACCAAACATGATAACGGTAATAAAAGAAGGGTAATAATGAAGGGTAATAAACACCTTCTTAAAATGACACAGTGCACCTTAAAGATAAGGATTCATACAACACCACGAGCTCAGAGGCTAAACATTTGCTAAGTCCGTCCCCCCCGCCCGATACAAAGGACATATTACTGTAGTACCACATCAAGGTTGGCAGTAATAAATCATGTGGTCCAAATAACCTCTAAACATTAGTGCTAGAAGGGAAGAACATTCATCTGTGTGTAGCCTGAAACTCACACAAACCAAACTAATCAAACCAAAAAGGTCAACTAATATTATTATGCAAATCAGCCGTGCAACTAACTGGCCATTTCATTACACCAACTGTTCAGTGAGGAGGTGGAGGTAGGAGGAGGAGGAGGAGAAGGGGGAGGAAGGGGCCGGGGAGGAGGAGGAGGAGTGCTGGCAGGTTTTTTCGTGACAGTCTCTACAAATATGTGATTCTTTGACCTTTTCTTTGTTTACTTATTGGTGGAAAGGAAACGCTGCCTGACAGTAGATGCCAATTTGTTAAAGAAACATTGCACTTGATTGCCAGGCTAACATGGAAGCAGAGGGAGTGATGGGAAAGTATGAGAGGAGACAAGAATGACTGCAAAAGAGAAATGGCAATAAATAAAAAACAAACAAAAGTGAAAGCCCAAAATGTCACCGTTAGATATCCAACTCACTGAGGGAATACAAAATTTGAAGTGTTTTCAAAACGTCCATGTACTCCATCATACTGCAATACACTAAAATTGTTACTTCATAGTATAAAAAAAAAAGCTCATACAGATGAACTGAAACGTGTTTCAACATCAGTTAGAACAAAGGGTCAAAAGAGAGATTAAACATGTGATATTTTGAGAAATAGCATGCTAACTAGCAGCAGGCTATCTATCTATCCATCCATCCATCCATCCATCCATCCATCCAACATCCACCACAGCCAGGCAAAGACATTCTCATTACTTTGTTTAGTAGCTTTCATTAAAATTACTAAACACCACGAATCAGTAATAACACACAAAACAATAATAATAATAAAAACTACAGAAGATATCTTTTTTCCCTGAAGGCCATGGGCCAAAACTGCTGCTTTATGTACACGACCTTTGACCCCTTCATATTAAAACACCAACCAGCTGCTGTGATGAACATGGGCTTACAGACTAAAGGCTACTGTCGGCACGTCTAGCTGCTCAACGCAATCCCCTCCTGGAACCAAATGCTCCCTGACAGTGTTGCCAAACGATCTTAGTTTACACAACCAGACCAAAAGGAGTTGCTCCACCGCCAGCTGTTGACGGTGAACTCGCCTTTTATTAATAAAGAAGACGATGCACCCAGCTATCAGCCCAACCGTGATCCTTTAGATAAACACTGACAAACAGGATCAGCCAAAAACTGCCAGAGCTCACATTCTTCCTTGTTTTGATACTTCTGGACTCACCACTGCAGAGCTACACCACACGGTGTGGGCTGCTAAGCAGGAAGCATTCAAAGGCTGGAACAAACAATTCCCGTTCTTCCTAAAAGTCCAAAAAGCTGGCTTAGCCTTCACAGCCCCCTAAATCTGCCTAGTTCACACTAAAGGCTAAATTGTCAAAATTTGCCAATGGTCTAAACCAGGGATATCAAACATATGGCCCATGGGCCAAAGCAGGCCCGTTAGAGGGATTGATCTGGCCCACATGATGAATTTTGAAGATAAAAAAAAATGAAAAAAAAAAAACTTCATGTTTGTGATGTTTGGTCAAATGGTATATTATTAAGTATGAATATTTTTGAATAAACTTGTGCTAATTCACAGGAAAACAAAGGGGTAAAATGTGGACTAAGTTGTTATTTATAGGT